GTTACAGATACATTTACATGCAGGAATTATTTAGTCAGATTTGAAACATAAAGATACTGAGTTATTGTTTTTCAATTTTTATTGCAAAATTTCAAACCCTGTTTGGGTTTTAAGTGAGTGGTTTTCTGTGGGTCCTTGGTAAAGGAATCAGTTACTGAGGACAGCTGTGCATGTTCTGCAATCTTTTATGGGTGATTGTGTTTTCCTGTGTCTTGCTTCCTCTGTCACTTGATTTAAAGGGACTATGATAAAGCCAGTAAGTACTTGGGCTCAGGAGTTGGATAGGGCTAGCACTGAATTCCTTTTCTATCCCTTACTAAATTCCTTTAACCATCTTGTGCCTCAAATTCTTTATTTTTAAAAAAGAAATCAGGACAAATGACTGACTTACTTCAACAAATAAATTACAAGGAAAGAAAAAAAAGGAGAGAGAGCTATATAGATAAGAGATAATCAATTAAATGCCACGTAGATATTTAGATCTTAAAAAAAAAAGTCAGCCTATCATGATGGCACATGCCTGTAATCTCAGGAAGGCTGAGGCAAGGAGGACTGAAAATTCAAGCTCAGCCTGGGGAATTTAGTGACTTGGTGAGACACCCTCTCAAAGCTAAATACATAAAGAAATAAATAAAAGGGACTAGGGGTGTAGTTCAGTGAGAAGGCCCTGGGTTCAATCCCCAATACCAGAAAAAAAAAAAAGTAAAATGTCACTTATGAGATGCTTGGGGAGACTTGACCATTGATAGTATATTTGATAATATTAAGGAATTATTTCAAATGCATTGAAGTTTCATTATAACATGGTAGTGTGGGGTTCATTTTTGTAGTTACCTTTTGAGACTTTGATACATACTAGAATCTGTACAAATAAAATATGATGTCTGAGATCTGTTTCAAAGTGAGGCAAAAGGAAGTGGCTGGGGTAGAGAAGAAACAAGTTGGGCCAAGAGGCGATACTTGCTGATGTGGGATGATGGACATAGTAGAGGTTCCTTAAGAGTATTCTGCCTACTTTAAAATATATATTTGCCATCTTCTATAGTCAAAGTTTAAAAAGAGAGAAATCAGTAATACCTGCTAAGATTATTGTGTGGGGTAAATGAAATGCTCTGTGTAAAACACTTGGCAGAGAGCCTGGAATATAATAATTGCTCAACAAATGCTAACTATTCCTAGTACAGACAAAACCTTTGGGGGGAAGGGCCTGGGAATTGATCCCAGGGCCTTGGGTATGACAGACAAGCACTGTACACTGAGTTAAGTCCTCACCCCTTCTTATTTTTAAGACAGAGTCTCACTAAGCTGCCCAGGCTGGCCTTGAACTCTCAATTCTCCTGCCTCACCTAGGATTACAGACGGGCCCCACCCCTCTTGGCTAAGGGCTTCTCTTTCGCACCTGCAGAACTGTGGAAGCTGGACCAGCCAACTAACCTTACTCCTTGCAAAACAGGCAACTGCTAACTGTCATTGCTCTCTTACTCAGCTGGATTCTGTACTAGGCCTTATGGTATTCTCTCTGAGAGAGCAGTTCACAGTGTGTTGGCCAGGAATGCTATTTCAGTGGAGAATGGAAGGCAAGAACTTTTTTAGCTCAACTATTAAGAAGTATTGATTGAGCACATTGCTGGGAATTCTCTATATAGCTTTATCTAACTTTCATAACAATCCTTCGAAGTCAAAATTACTAGCTTCATTTTAGAGAGGAGAACACCGACAAGTTTTGAGGCCTACCCAAAACCACAGCAGTAAGTGATGACCTTTCCTCATACCCAGTGCCTGAGATCTCCAGAGCACTGGCTATCAGCTCTCTTTACCTTTCCTTCCCTTGTCCTAGCTAAGAAACAACCACAACCCACAAAGGCTGAGTCCACATTCCTAATCAAAAGCCGCCCATCCTGGGACTGAAAGACTGTGTCAGTGTGTAGCAAGACTGTAAAAAGTCTGCATATCTGATAAAGAGAGTCACAGGCTTGGGGCCTGCAGAGAGGAGGCCCAGAAAGAATAATAGAAAGGAAAAGGCTTTTGGGATTGCACTGACATTTGTGTTTAATTTCCCTCTTGTTCCAAACGCTATTCAACTTTTAAGGAAAGAAGACAGCAAGGAGAGATACCGTATACAAGAACTGTGCAATACCAAAAATTAAAAACAGCTAGCTAGCTGCCATCCAAGACCGTGGACACTAAATTCAAACTCCGGCTGTACTTCAGTTTAGTGGTGGCGCTGACATCTAATGATGTCAGCAAATGAGTTGATTTTAGAATCCTTCTTATATAAAGCGGGACAATTCCGTTCACGGCGGGTGTCTGGTTACAACCAGTTACTGGTTGTTTGTATCGGAAGTTCCCGGCAGTGCAGCGCAGTGAGAGCCACCAGGAGAAACCTAAATTCCCGCGACCGAGTTGCTCAAATGTTAATGACCCAAACTTGAGAATCGGCGTCTTAGGTTCCACTTCTGGGGGTCAGGAAGGCTCCGATTATTTCCTCGGTCTCCTGTTAGATTCCCAGCTAACCCTTTCGCTGCCGAGGCCAATCCCGGAGCCGAGTGGCAGGAAAGAGCCCGCGCCAGCCCTATCCAGCTGAAGCGCACCGCCCAGCCCTGCTGCGAACCCCTGACCCGCTGCGCGCGGGGCGAAGGTTTTCTTAATTAGGAAACAATAGCTATTCAAGAGGAAGCGCAAATAACTCTCTCTCTGCACGCATCAGCGTGGCAATCTCCAAGTCCCCGCCCCCACCCCAGGCGAGGAGCAGCACCTCGAAGCCCGCAGGGAGGCAGAGGGGGAGCCCGCGCGGGGGCAGGGACGTCTCGCGCAAGGGCCACCCCACCTCCGGGGCCCGCCTCCAGGTTTCCCGCCGGCGGGGACGGGGACCGCAGAGTGCAGAATCCCCCTCCTCACTGCGACAGATTTGGGGGGGAGGGGCCCAGAAGCCACAGGGAGAGGTGGCTGAGCGCGGGATTGAGCGGCTCCGAGGTCAGAAGCTGTCTCCAGTCGGGTCGCAGGCCCCAGTGCCCGCGGCGCCCTCCACAGAGGGCGCGGGCCTGGCGCGCTGCATCAGAGCCAAGATGCTCTTTTCTTGCCCTGAAGTTGCCAGCCCCGAGCTCTTAGAGGGAGGAGATTCCTCCTGTTCCTTTCTGCTGCTCCCCGGGTCGGAGAAAAGATGTGGAATTAGGCTGGAGCGAAGATTCCGCGTGCTCTATAATTACGCACACACTAAAATCTTCACCGTTGACTTAAGTTACTTGGCGCTGCGAAGGCTGCGGCCCTGCATATTGATTAAACGCAGGCTCTATTTACCTAAACAATTCATGTAGAGATTAGCAACGTTCACTTGATCACAAGAATGGGGTTGACAATTAAGGGGCAACGCATCCCAGATGTAGCGGAGCCTCTGGAAGGCGTGCAGAGCGAGCGGCAGGCGGCTTGCTGAGGGGCGCTCCGGGGACTCTGGCCGCTGCCACCAGAGCGCAGGGGACTGCGGGAAGCGGCGCAGAGGCAGGGTAGGGACCAGGGGAGGCTCAGCCGTGGCCCAGCCACCAGCCAGCCAGCTCTGGAGGCTCGCAGTTGGTTTTAAGGGAGCTGAGCACCCTCCCTCCGCAGGAAGGCATCTGGAGCTCTGAACCTGCCTCCTCCTCAGGGCGATGTCACCTGCCTCAGGCCGCCTGGCTTGCCAATGCCTGGCTGGGAAGGAGCCTGGACGCTGCTGCATGTGCCCGGTGAGTGTGTGTGCGCCCGGTGAGTGTGTGATCAGTGTGTCTTCTGCTTGTAGTTAGAAAGGCAGGGAGCAAGGAGGAGGCACATGTATCTAAAGTGTGTGGAGCCTCCCTTTACCCCACGTATGCCCTCCATTCAGTTCTCCAGTGAGTCAGGGTGTAGGTGTCCAGTTAGCCTGAGTGTGACACTGGTCAGTGTGGCCAGCCTGCTAGGGCTGAGCTCTAGAGGAAAACATGTACAATCAGGAAAACATGGACATGTTGACCCAGAGCAGGCCGCTCCTGGGGGATGTCACAGGGTGTTTGGGTCCTTGAGAGGAATCTTATAAGTCACCTTCTTTTTCATCTCTCACTGCACTGTAGGGCCCAAGCAGGGAGGGGTTGAAGGGTGAGAGGCCTGAGCAACTCCATTTTGAAAAAGAGACTCCATCTCAGAGCAGATGGCCCGGGCATAAACTCCAGCCCCAAGAGAAAGCCACAAGATGTGCTTTGGCCACCTGCCCCTAACAGTATTTAGTAACCACCCATAGTAACAGCCAATCAGCGAATCTTGGGAAATCACCCTAGGTCCCAAGATGTTCCCTTTGAGTGCTTAACCAACCTTTTGGGGTTTGGCCCATAAAGGACATCCAATCAGGTTTGAACACCAGTTGCCTGCTAAATGCCAACCAATCATAAAACTGCCAAGCTGGAATTCCCCGAACCCTGCTGTAACCACAATAAAAACCCAGCTGATATGAAATTCGGGGCTCTCAATCCAGATCCTCTGCGTCGGTGACGGTTGTGAGCCCCTGCTCGAGCTTGAATAAACGACCCTCGTGTGTTAGCATCGCAATCTGCTCCTTGGTGGTCTTTGGGGACTTCGCGATCTGGACATAACATTTGGGGGCTCATCTGGGATCCCCAAGACCCCCAGGACCCCCGTACCGGAGGGTTGACACTGGCCGGTAAGTGTTTCAGTGTCTGTGAAGCTGTCCGTGTGGAAATCTGGGGCCCATTTTCTGAGTAGGTCAGCGAATGGTCTAGGCGGACGTGCTGGAAGACTGCTGGCCTGGGGTCCTGGAAGACGTTCCAGGCCCCTCTGGAGGGGACGGAGTGCCCCGTGAGTCTCTGCAACTTCTGGAAGGACGATGCGGGTCGTTCCCGCGGCACGGCGTGAAGCTGTCGTCCTACTTTCGGTTTTGCCTCTGAACGCCCGGAGGACTGTGTAGTCTCGCTTTCTGTTTGTCTGTGTGGCTGACCTGTCTCTCTATTGCTTTTTATTTTCATTTGACTGGGACTGACACGATGGGACAGACTCTGTCAACTCCACTTTCTCTGATGACGGATCATTTCAAGAAAGTTAGAGAGAGAGCACATAACTTAAGTATAGAGATCAAGAAGGGCAAACTAATTACGCTTTGCAGGTCTGAATGGCCAACCCTCGTCTCCAACTGGCCAGCAGAGGGGTCCTTTGACCTCGACTTGATACACCGAGTCAAGGATGCCATCTTCGGGCACCCAGACCAGGTGCCCTACGTTGTGGTCTGGGAGGATTTGGTCCTCAACCCCCCGCCTTGGATAAAACCTTTCTTGTCTCCTCAGAAACAGCTCGGGACCGTGCTAGCGGTTCAGGAGCGAAAGGGAAGATTGTGCGGCAGAAGTGAAACTAGCCCGTCTGCCCCGTTTTATCCCATCCTCCAAGGGGTGACGGATGAAGAACTTATTTTTCCCCCTCCCTACCAGCCCCCTCGACCACCACCCCAGGCTGAAGATCCGGAAGGACCCCCGGGGCTGTCTGGGGCGGCAGGAGGGAGCTCTGGTCCAGCCCAGAACACTCGAGGCCGACGTGCAGCCTCACCCATGGGACCTGCTGATTCCACTGTCCTTCCGTTGCGGGCAACAGGGCCACCTGATGATAACGGGAATCAGCCTCACCACTATTGGCCCTTCGACGCTAGTGATCTTTATAACTGGAGAGCTCAGCATGCTAAGTTCTCTGACAACCCCAGGGAATTGATTAACTTGTTAGAAACAGTTCTGTTCACCCATCAGCCCACATGGGACGACTGCCAGCAGTTGCTCCAGATCCTGTTCACTATGGAGGAACGTGAGAGAATCCAAACTGAGGCCAGAAAGGTGGTACCGGGCGCCAATGGCGAACTTACCACCAATATTGACCTCATCAACGCCTCCTTTCCTCTTTCCTGCCCAGACTGGGACTTTAACACGGCCGCAGGTAAGGAGAGGCTCCGGGTCTACCGCCAGACTCTGTTGGGAGGTCTCAAAGTGGCTGCAAGACAGCCCACTAATTTGGCAAAGGTAGGAGATGAACAACAGGGTAGGAAAGAGAGCCCGGCGGCCTTTCTAGAGCGGATCATGGAGGCTTTCCGCCAATACACCCCCATGGATACAGAGGCCGCCGAGACCAAGTCTGCTATCATCATGGCTTTCATTAACCGGGCAGCCCCAAATATTAGGAGAAAATTACAAAAGATAGATAGGCTAGGAGAAAAGTCCATCCAGGACTTAATAGCGGTGGCGGAGAGAGTCTATAACACCAGGGAAAGCCCTGAGAACAAGCAGGCTCGAGCTAATGATCACCAGACACGTAACCTGGCCCACATCCTGCTTGCCTCCACCGCTGGGGAACCGAAGGAACGAGAACGAATGTCACCTCTGAGAGATTGCTAAGGAAGGCCAAGGTAAGCAAGACCGTCGAGAATGCCCCCGCCTGGGGAAAAATCAATGTGCTTACTGTAAAGAGGAAGGACATTGGGCCAAAGAATGTCCCAAGAAAAAGGAATGGGGTAAGACCCCCAACCTGGCTATGGATGAACTGAGTGATTAGGGGGGACGGGGTTTGGACCCCCTCCCCGAACCCAGGGTAACCCTAAAAGTGGAGGGGACCCCCATACAATTCTTAGTAGATAAAAGAGCTCAGCATTCAGTCCTCCTCAAACTGAAAGGACACCTCTCGAGCGAAACCTCTTGGGTCCAAGGAGCTACGGGCATGCACAAATATTCATGGACTACCCAAAGAACAGTGGACCTCGGCATGGGCCGGGTATCCCACTTGTTCCTAGTTATTCCTGATTGCCCTTACCCCTTATTGGGCTGAGACCTGCTCACTAAATTAGGGGCTCAAATTCATTTTCAACCTGAAAAGACCAAAATACTAGATAGGAAAGGGAAGCCTTGGGTATTGGGCCTTGGTCAAAAAAGGCCCAAATCTGCAGACCAGAGGTAAGCTACTTGGGTTATATTCTCAAGGAGGGACAACACTGGCTGTCCCAAGCAAGGAAAGAGACAGTGCTAAAGATTCCCCTGCCCATGACTCCTTGGAAAGTCAGAGAGTTCCTGAGGTTGGCTGGCTTCTGCCGCCTCTGGATCCCGGGCTTTCCTGAATTGGCCAGACCCCTATATGGGCACCAAAAAGATGCAGGACCTGCTTCGCCACGCTGAGATTCTGATCAAGGACGCTCATTACAAGATCAAACAGATAGTGACCGACTGCAAGGCCTGCCAGCTAACCAATGCTACCAGAAATGATAGCCGCCCAGGACAACGGCTCTGAGGAGACAAACCTGGTGCATACTGGGAACTGGACTTCACTGAGGTAAGACCTGGACGCTATGGTTACAGGTATTTGTTAGTCTTTATAGACACCTTTTCAGGATGAGTGGAAGCTTTCCCCACAAAACATGAGATGGCACAGATAGTTGCCAAAAAGATCCTGGAAGACCTGCTACCGAGGTATGGATTTCCTGCCTTGTTAGGGTCGGATAACGGACCAGCTTTTGTGTCCAAAATGAGTCGGAGTTTAGCCAATATACTCAGGGCAGATTGGAAATTACATTGTGTTTATAGGCCCCAGAGTTCAGGACAGATAGAAAAAATAAATAGGACTCTAAAAGAGACCTTAACTAAATTGACCTTAGAGACTGGCGGGGACTGGGTGGCCCTCCTCCCCTATGCCCTTTATCGAGTCCACAACTCCCCCTGCAAGTTGGGACTCACCCCTTTTGAGATCATGTTTAGTGTTCCCCCTCCCATTATTCCCAATCTCAAATCTGAAGTGCTAACTAAATTTGATGATCATCCCTTGTTGATGTCCCTAAGAGCCTTTCACCTCGCTCACAAGGACATCTGGCCGAAACTGAGAGCCCTGCACGAGTCTGGACCGTCTCCTGAGCCTCACCATTACATCCAGGAAATTGGGTCTACGTCTGGAGACACCACCAAGAAAACCTCAAACCTCGATAGAAGGGACCCTATGTGGTAATCCTGACTGCACCCACCGCTCTCAAGGTTAACAGGGTAGCCACCTGGGTGCACTACATGCACGTTCGGCCAGCGGATCCCTTCGCAGTTTGAGAAGACTTCGTCCCAACATGGCAGGTGCCCAGAAACGAAGACAACCCCTTAGAACTCAGGTTCAAACGTGCATGATCTGGATGCTAATTGCCTCCTGCTGCACACAAGGAAGGGGAATAAACCCTTATGCCCCTTTCAATTAGACATGGACCATTTGTAACCCAGAGACAGGACTCCGACTGCCCTTGGCTTTCTCGGTAGGACCAAGGACTATGTGGTTCCCAGACCTGGTGTTTGATCTTTGTCAGTTAGCAGAGGGATCTTGGTCAAATACCCAGCGGACCGAACAGGATTTGTATCCTGATTGCCGTTGGAGAATATTTTATGCATGTCCTGGAGGTAAAAGAACCTCCAAATGTGGAGGCCCAGAGACTTATTTTTGTGCAGCCTGGGGTTGTGAGACTAGTACGTCCGGAGGCTGGTCAGTCAAAGGGGGTGACCTTAACACTCTGACCCGCCTCCCTGAGTCATCAAAGCTTAAATTACGGTTTACGACAAAGGGACAAAAAACCCAAGGGTGGGAGGCAGGCAAAACCTGGGGCCTCCTGCTTTGGGTTACTCTTGGCCACCATCTGGGACTTCTGTTCACTATCCAATTGATAGGAACACCATTAGTCTCTCATCCTGTAGGGTCTAACCAAGCTGTAGCGCCTCCGATTCTATTCGGGCCAACCAGCCCCCCAAAAGAAAAAAAAAACAATAACCACCCCTCAGTTTCCCTCTTGAAGTGTTACTAAAATTGCTGAGGACCCAGAACAGGACCAGAACCCAGATGACCCACTCTGGGAACTCATGGTCCAAACCTTCCGAACCCTAAATGGTTCTAGACCTGATCTTACTCAGTCCTGCTGGTTATGTTATGACATTAAACCCCCTTACTATGAGGGAATAGCTTTCTTAGAATACTTCACTGAATCGGACAACCCTACTCAGTGTAGATGGCAACAAAAGGGGACAGCTAGACTAACTCTACAGTCTGTAGCGGGCCAAGGGACTTGTGTTGGTAATGTCCCAACCACCCACCAACACCTCTGCAACCAAACCTACCAGCCTAATTCAAAAAAATACCTTGTACCCCCCCCCCCGATGGATGGTGGGCCTGTACCACAGGGCTCACCCCTTGTGTACATGGAGAGGTACTCAACCAGACTGGTGACTTTTGTGTATTAGTACAGTTATTTCCTAAACTGATCTACAACTCTGAGGAAGATGTTCTTATTCATTTAGATAGAACCCCAACCAGAGTTAAGCGGGAGCCCCTAACAGCCATCACTTTGACGGTACTCTTAGGTTTAGGCCTAGCCGGAGCTGGGGCTGGGGTCTCTTCCTTGGTTTTGCAGAATAAACACTATAACGATTTAAGGGCAGCCATAGATATAGACATCGAGAGGCTCGAGAATTCGATCTCCCACCTACAGGAGTCGCTGTCCTCCTTGGCAGAGATAGTGCTTCAAAATAAAAGGGGTCTAGACTTGATCTTCCTACAACAGGGAGGACTCTGCGCCACCCTGGGGGAAGAATGTTGTTTCTACATAGATCATTCAGGTGTAGTCAAAGAATCCATGACAAAAATCAGAGAGGGCTTGGCTAAACGAAAACATGAAAGTGAACAAGCCCAAGGATGGTTCGAGTCCTTGTTTAACTCTTCCCCATGGTTAACCACCCTGATCTCCACACTGTTAGGTCCCCTGCTCATTTTACTGCTTCTCTTAACTTTTGGACCTTGCATACTTAACAGGTTGATCTCATTCATTAGGGAACGTGTCAGTACTGTACAGCTGATGGTACTTAGGTCCCAGTATAGGCCCGTTCCAGGCGATCCAATAGAATTAACTCCTCGAGACCCATGATTGGGCCTCTATAGCCTCATAAGAAGCGGGGAATGAGAGGCCTGAGCAACTCCATTTTGAAAAAGAGACTCCATCTCAGAGCAGATGGCCTGGGCATAAACTCCAGCCCCAAGAGAAAGCCACAAGATGTGCTTTGGCCACCTGCCCCTAACGGTATTTAGTAACCACCCATAGTAACAGCCAATCAGCGAATCTTGGGAAATCACCCTAGGTCCCAAGATGTTCCCTTTGAGTGCTTAACCAACCTTTTGGGGTTTGGCCCATAAAGGACATCCAATCAGGTTTGAACACCAGTTGCCTGCTAAATGCCAACCAATCATAAAACTGCCAAGCTGGAATTCCCCGAACCCTGCTGTAACCACAATAAAAACCCAGCTGATATGAAATTCGGGGCTCTCAATCCAGATCCTCTGCGTCGGTGACGGTTGTGAGCCCCTGCTCGAGCTTGAATAAACGACCCTCGTGTGTTAGCATCGGAATCTGCTCCTTGGTGGTCTTTGGGGACTTCGCGATCTGGGCATAACAAGGGAACCAACTGCAGAGAGGAGCTCAGCAGAGTGGGATCTAGGTAATAAAGGACAGATGAGAGCAGTTGTGTTTGAGAGAAATCATGGTCCACCTAGAAGGGTCTCCAAACGCTGGGCTCCCGTTGCATACTGACTGCAGAAGACACATGCACATCGTTTCTCTGCTCTTTCCCTCTTCCTTCTGTGCCCCATCATCAGCCTGGAATGCTTCTTATTCTGCATTTAGATACAAACAAAAGGATTTGTCCTAGACACCCAAGAACAAGCCAGAACGAAGCTCTTTCCCGCCAAACGAAGACCAGGAAATCAACAGCGCCTGCCCAGGCTCCGGGGGGCAAGAGTCGGGAGAAGGATAGGGCGGTAAGAGAATCTGGGGGACCCGAGGAGGGAGGCCCCTAGAGCCGGGGAGAGGAGGCCGGGGAAGAGAAGAGGGAGGAGGAAGGGGGCAGAGGGGGCGTTGTAATCGGCCCCGCCCCCATTTAAGAGCTGAAGGCGGCCGAAGAGCAGGAGGAGGTGAGACAAAGGGAATCCTCCTCCTCTGGGACGGGTGAAGTGCGCTCGTCCTTTCCTGGCAGGCTCTGGAAAAACGGCAGAGATTTCCTCGCCGTGAGAAGACCCACGAGCGTCTGCTGCAAACAGACTCTGGGCTGGGCAGGAGGGCGGGGCTCGAGGGCGGGGGCCAGTTTTGATCGCTCAGCTCCGCGGTAACGTGGTCTTCGCCGCACCGATTAGCTGGAGGAGCCAGCCCCAGGCGAGGAGTTCCGTTCTGCGGAGTCCCTCCCTCCCCACCCCGCGTCATCTCGCTCCCGGAGCCTGGGCGCCGCTCCTCCCCAAGTCTCACCAGAAACTTCAAGGGGTAATGGCTGTGTGTTCCTGCGGTAATGAGGAGGCCACACAGCCCTCCACACTCCGCTAAACCAATGTGTAAGGCACGTCCCGGTCTCCGGGGACAGACGGGGAAGGGACGCAGCTGGGACCTCTGCTGGCGAGTCCTCCTCGAGGGGAGTGGCGTCTCCCTGACCCTCTGCAGCTCAGCTTAGGCCTCGGTCGTCCTCTAATTTCTTTAGAAAGAGAAAGAGAGGCACAGAACACGCATCTCGCCGCCCACCGGACAAGCCGCGGAACTTGGGTCTTGCTTGAAAACTTTTCCAAATAAATCACTCTGGTGGCTTTGAGCTGTGATGAAACGAGGCTGGATGCTGCTCTTCTCCACAAGAGCGCTGCGGATGTAAAGGATGAGGAGCCGCCCTCCCCCACCTCTTTCTTTCTTTCCCACATAAGTCAGCCATATAAATCATTCGCATTGTTTAAGGTACATTGATCAATCTAATGGCTTGTAATAGGTTCCTAATTGCCACTTGCAGAAGCCTCCAGGCTCACGTTTGAAGAGGAAAGGTTCTCAGTGCCGGCCAAGTCCGCTTTAAACTTGAAACTGAGCCAGTACAGAACCCAGGGCAACCTGCAGGATGGCCCAGTCACTGCAGCCTCATTTCCTCAAGGGAGGGAGGAGAGGGGGTTTATAATGTGGTATTTACCATCCCCTCCTTTTTCCACATTTCACTTCCAAACCCCTATTCATTGATGACTAGAAAGCCCAACCTGCAATTTATTGATTATTGTGGACTGAAGATCATTTAAAAGCAGACAAGGAGTATCTCATATGTTTGTATTTAAAAACTTCCCTAGTCACAAACTAATTTGCACGTGGTCATATCTTTACTTGTTTCTAACAGTGGCAAAAAGAAGTAACATGGAGGGAAGGAAGGAAAAACCAGACTTTCTTCATGAGAGCCTTGGAGGTGCAATGCTTGTTACCCTCCTGCAGTGTGGTGCCTTCTCCAAGCCCTGGATGGAAGAGGAAAGAGTTGGAAGTTGGGAGCCTCCTGAAAAGCTGCCTATGAAGTGGTAAAAGCTGAAGAAACTGGTACCCTGACTGGAGTAGATGGCCAATGACCAGAATTGAATCACCTGGCATCTGGCTTTTCTTGATATTAGTTCCGGATTTATGTGAAAGGGTCCTTTAACGTCTCCAAGAATGGTTCCAATAGAGTTGGCGGAGATAACAGATGTGTATCACTTTGGTAGAGATGCTCTTTAAAAGAAGAAAGCCAGCCATATTTGCTTAGGTCTAGGACCCCTCCTTGGTGGTTGATGAAGGAGGGAGGAAGGTACAACCCCAAGCCGAATAGGCCCCCCATAGTTTCCTAGTAATGCAGTAAACAAATCTATGATGCTTGTTGAATAATCTTCCAATAATTGCAGTCATTAAAATCATCACACAGTCTACCGTCACCTTCCTTCCTTTGACATACCAGTCTTCCCTTTAATTGTTAATGCATTTTTGGTTCACATAAACAGATCAAGGCAAGCTTAAAATATATGGCCCAGATAAGATACATGTGGCAAAAAAAAATTACTTGTGTACCAAACGTTTGGACTGTATTTAAGAGACTAGTGGTTTTCAGTTTTTCCAGCAGGCTTTACAGAGGCAAGGAAGATTCGTACCTCCTACCCCTCTAAATAGCAGTAACACCTCCGAGGTAGGAAAATTTTTTTAAAAAGATGAAAGTCTCATTGGCCTATTGATTCTTCCTGGCTCTTTTATTTGCAAGGATTGGGTTGTAAAGAGGGAGGGCATTATAGAACAAATATTAAATGAAAGCTTAACGAAAATTGTAGGAGAGTTCTGCAATTTTCAATTAATTTTCTTGATCCATTTGATCTCAATGCTGGTGCTTTTAAAGATACAAATATACATTAACTATAAAAGATTCTCTTCTAATCAAAGGCTGCATTTCATTTTCACTCACACTGACAAACTCCAACTGCGGAAGGGATTCACAAACTCAACAGGCACTATGGACTGTCCTGGGCTTCCTTTGCCCTTGCTCCTGGATGGCACTGAGACACCAAGGGCAGCTCTTTTTTTTTTCTTTTTAATTCAAGCTATTAATGTATCTCCCCAACTCCCACATCTTGCTGACCTGATAATCACTGCTCTAGTGTAGATCATGCAAATGAAAAGCATAATTAATTGCTCAAATGATTAAAAAAGGGAGCACTGTGGCTTAGCAAATAAATAAATAAAGACAGGTGGGAGGACAGGTCAGATAAATGCTTTTTACCGGCTCCTGTACCACCTACCCTCACCCCTGCCCAGTATCCTGGTTCTGGTGGTCCACCTTCCACCGCAGCCAGCCTGTCAAAGCCAGAACCTTTTGCTCCTCCTCCCTCCATGCTCCCCCTCCTGCCTGCGTCCTGGAGTCGTCCGAGTTCCACCCCACCCCACCCCACCCCCGTGTTGTCCAGCCGCTGTTAAACTCTGCACCTGGTCAAAGCTCCCAGGAACCTGGGCGGCCACCTAATATTTACCCAGCTACTGTATCGAGGAGTTCAGAAAATAACCAGTCTTCCCGGTCACTATCCTTGGTGAATCAGAGGGAAAGCATCTTTCTTCTCTGCGGCGTAGGAGCGCCGTCCTTCCGATCAGCGCTAATGACAGAATGGTTTACCCGGCTTTGCCTCTTCCCAAACATAACAACTTGAGCAGTTGTTCGGATCAAAGCTCTCGGAAAGAGCCGAGATGGGAGAAACAATATTTGTTCAAAAGAAGTGAACTCTTCTCTTTAATGACCCTATTCTTCTTTATTAGGGTTCATATTGAATTTTTTGCCAAAAAAATGTTGATTTAACCATAGTGTATTTACGATGTAAATATATTCCAAGATGAAAACGTCACAGATCAATTGTAAAGGACCCGGATACATAATTTTAAAAAATCAGTTTCAGTGTATATGAGGTTCTCACCCCACTTTCTCTGCTCAGTCAGATTTGTTTATGCAGAATCGACATTTAATAGTGCTAATTGCACTCCAGTTAAATTGCCCTGATTGCAGAAAGGGAAGCAATTTTCGTGCTCTCTGTCTGGGTTTGGAAGAAATTGTTTTATATTCACCTCTTTATAAAGAAGTGGAGATAAGGCACCGGGGCCTTTGCACAAATTGCACTTAGGGGCTGACTGGCAGCATTCAGGCGCTATAATAGAGCATTATTTGGCCGTTTTGAATAATGTAAAGCGTTTGCTGAAAGCTATTCTCCTGAAAATTGCTTTAACTTTTAAAAGGGTGATGATTCACTCCAAACCAGGCCTTTGTTACAGTGTCATTATTTCCCCAAATGTTTTAACAGTCAGCTCAACACTTTAGCATAACACATTGATCTTTGTTTAAAAACTAGATTTTTTAGAGGATGAAAAAATCTGTCAAATGAGAAAGAAAACTGGACTTCCTCCGAAAGATTTCCTTAGGGACCCATCTTAGAGTTGAACTGGCCCGAGTGCTTGCCTGCGTTCGTTTGGAAGCTTTCCCTAACTTTTATTGCGATGCTACGGGCGAATGTGCCTAAAGGAATATCTGAGTGCCCACGTCCAGAGTCTGACAGCTGGAATTACGTGGAAAACGGCGGTGTGTGGGGGGGGGAGTGGGGAGGGAGACAAGCTGGGCGCCTGGAATCGGAGGTGCCTGCGAGAACTGTTTTAAATGGTTGGCTTGAAAATGTCACCAGTGCTAAGTGGCTTTTCGGATTGTCTTATTTATGACTTTGTCAGGTTTCCTTTAGGAGAGGGTGTGCAGAGGGTGGGGGAGGAAGAGGACAGGGGAAACCTCAGCTCTTCTCCTCCGCGGGCTGCCCGGGGTGAGCCGGAAACGCCTCGCTGCCACTTAACAATCCCTCTATTAGCAAATCGACGCGGAGACTCCACTGGAAGCTGAGGACCAGTCTCCCCTTCCAGGGCAGAAGTCACCTGTTGGGAACGGCTCCGGGGTCCTCCTGCCGGGCTTTCCGGCTGTTCCAGGCGGCCTTATTTCCCCTCTTCCCTCCACCCCGCGTCCCCCAGGGATTTCTCACACGCCCCGCTTTGATTCCCACCACCGACCCCCAGGCCGCCGCGCCTCTTTCACAGCCGCGAGGTTCTTCTGGCTCTCTTCTCCGTAGTGATTTCCTTGGTGTTTTCGCCACCTTAAAACATTTAAAAAAGAAGAAAGAAAAGCATTCTGAGAATATTCTAACGAAAAGCGACCATGCACCCAGGCATCCTGCGTTTGGTCGCACTTTGGGGCCAAGAAATCTTCCAAAAGAGGGGAGAAAACACTGAGAACCTCGTTCCATGTCCTCTTCACTTCCTCCCTTGACAACTTGTCTTTTTTGCACCCGAACATTTGGGGTTGGTGGTTCATTTATTTTTGAAAAGCAGGATGTGGGTTTGGAGGGGATTGTGCTACATTAAAACCAGTACCCACGTCTGCCCGAGGGCTCTGGTATTTCGAGTTCAAACGCAGCCTCTGGCTACCCTGGAGAATAAGAGAAAGTGGGGCCCGGAAAGAAGGGGAGCCGACAGCTCCGCGTTTGCGGAGGGAAGCAGCGCGCGCCCTTGTGTGTGCGAGGACAACCTCTTTTCACGCCCTATCTGGGGAGGACTCGGATGATTCCAGCTGCACAACTTGAAGGCGCCCACGTGTGGTCTGGTCCTCGGCATCGCCGAGGAAGCCTCCAAAGGCGGGGCGTCAAGGCTGAGCCTCTTGACACCGCGCCCTCGCGCCACGCCAGCCTCTGGGCCTTGGTGGAGCAGCCTGGAGCTCCTCGGTCTGGAGTGGGGATGGGCTGGAAATGGAGCAAGAAAACTCAACTCCGGGCTGAAACGCGACATGCAAATCGTCACAGGGTTAAACAAACAGCCGAGCAAGCTGCAGCTTCAGCGGGGGTGGTGGTGGGGGCGGACGCCGCTCGCGCCGGTCTCTGTTTCCAAAGTTGTTACAATGTGAAAATAAGCAGCTTCGTGCAGCCTGTTGTATGGGCTGATGCTTCCCACCCCTAAGCCACCCCCCAGCAAAACCTGGCAGATAATCAGCACGTCCCACTGTTTAGTCATATTTGACAATTGGGTTAACCTGGTAGCTAGGCACTGGCGAAGCCGTACAAAGGGTGCCCTCAATTACCACCAGAAGCTTCTGGCGTGAGTGGCACTTGTATTACCCCCTGGGTCAGAGGCCAGAGCAACAATTAGGAAGTCACTTAGACTGCTGGAGGTGGTGGGATGCAGCAGGCTCCAGGCCTCCCAACAAGTCTGGGTGCAGACCTGTGTGGAGAGGCCCGTTTCTCCCCTCTTGGGAGAGCTTTCCCTTCTCGCCCCCTCCGCATCTGGTGGAGGAGCGGTGGCGGCGGCGGCGGCGGCGGCGGGGGGGGGGGCGGTAAGGAACAGGGTAAAAGACCAACGATAAAGATAAAATCGCCGGCGAGGACGATGAATACCAGCTGAAGTTGTCTTCCTCAGGCAAGCGACTGGACACAAAGTGAGCGTTGACATTTCCCTCTCCACCAGGCCCTCCGCCTCCGTGCCCCTCCCCTCTGTCTCCTTTCCCACAAGTGGGGAATGGAGTCGCACTGTCAACCCTAACTTGCAACATCTTGGGGTGGGTGGGGGGAGGGAGCCTGTGGCTCAGTCTTCACGGTACTTAAACCTGGCTTGGTGAGTGTGTGTAAATTTTTAATTGCACTGTAATTTCTTCCGTCCCCAGCCCGCGCCCCCCAACCCCCGCCCTCGCCCGCAGACTTGACTGGCACGCGCGGGGAGCCCGGGCTCGGGCCCCTCGGCGCGTCTGATTGGCTGCAGGGCAGCTCCCGTCGGCTCTGCCTGCGCCCTCATTGGGCGAGAGGCGAAGCCAGCGGCACTTCAAAGCGGGTGCTCCTCGCACTTAGGCTGAGTTTAGCCGGCGGGAGCCCGGAGTCCGCTCGGCGCGAGCGCGGGGACGCGGGAGCCGCGCGGGACCCCAGCAGTGTTTCCGAGCAGCCGCCAGGGTCAGCCCCGCTCCCGGCCCCGCCGCGCATCCAAGAGCCCTGCTATGGCCACGTCTATACTCGGGGTAAGTCGTAAGCGCAGCAACGCATTTGCTAGTTTTAGCCGGAGTTATTTTTTCGTTATGGCTTCTCAAGATCTGCGGCTCCCAAGAAACTGTTGTTGCTGGACTGCAGCTTCAGATTCTTTTAGCACTTTCCCCATTTCCGTGACGGATTCTTTCCTAGTTATTGGAACCCGGGAGATGCCTTTGTAAGGAAAGGATTTCTTAAGCAAGTTCCTTTTCATTTGGTTTTTAAAGAAAAGCTAGAGGGTTTTCCACCCTTCGTGATTTATGCACCTTCCCCCTCGTCCCCCGCTTCGGGATTGTTGCACGTAGGCGACGGTGGTGTTTGCAGAAAACTGTCTTCCTCGCTTTGCAGTCCGTGCAGCCCCGGTAATAAGCATTTACATATCCGCGGCCCCTGAGTTCGCCCGTGACTTTGAAAACCGTCGCTGGGCCGCTTATCCTCGGATTATTGTCTTTGTAATCGGCGTGTGTGTAAATTTCAAAACCAATGTTTTCTATTTAAAAAATAGTCAAATCATAGCCAGCCTTGGGAGGAGGGTTCCAAGTTCCGCCGGTCCCTGGGCCGCTGTTAGGCCGCCTCTGCCCTCACCCGGTGTTTGCACTGTGTTTACCTTCGTGCTGCACCGGAAGGGCAACTGGGGGGCCTGGGGAGAGGAGCGGGCTGATGGGGACCACCCAAGTCCGGTTCTAGGCAGGGGTTGCAGCCACCCAGGCGAAGGAAACCGAGGCATCCTTGATTCGTAGCCTCCCCAGGAGCAACTTTCCAGCGCCCGGACCTTCGCCCTGTGGCCCCCCCTGCCCGGTGCGCCTCTGTGGATCCGCTATGCTCTCGTGGGGAGGAGGCGCGAGCCGACCGGGGAGCCTCGGCCCCCCAGGACCAGCCGCGGGGGACAAGGCTGCTCACGGGTGCACTTTGTGTTTTCCCCCACTTCCTCCTGCTATCCTCTTCCTCCTCCTTCTCGCTCCTTCCCTCACCCCACCCACTCTAGGAAGAGCCGCGCTTCGGAACGACCCCGTTGGCCATGCTGGCGGCGACCTGCAACAAGATCGGCAACACAAGCCCGCTGACTACGCTGCCGGAGTCGAGCGCCTTCGCCAAGGGCGGCTTCCACCCCTGGAAGCGCTCCTCGTCCAGCTGCAACCTTGGCTCCAGCCTCTCGGGCTTCGCGGTGGCCACAGGCGGCCGCGGCTCGGGCGGCCTGGCGGGGGGCTCGGGCGCCGCCAACAGCGCCTTCTGCCTGGCGTCCACATCGCCCACGTCGTCCGCCTTCAGCAGCGACTACGGCGGCCTCTTCTCCAACTCGGCGGCGGCGGCGGCGGCGGCGGCCGGGGTGTCCCCGCAGGAGGCGGGCGGCCAGTCGGCCTTCATCTCTAAGGTGCACACGACGGCGGCCGACGGCCTGTACCCGCGGGTGGGCATGGCGCACCCGTACGAGTCGTGGTACAAGTCAGGCTTCCACTCCACGCTGGCTGCGGGCGAGGTGACCAACGGCGCAGCGTCGTCGTGGTGGGACGTGCACAGCAGCCCAGGCTCCTGGCTGGAGGTGCAGAACCCCGCCGGGGGGCTGCAGAGCTCGCTGCACTCGGGCGCCCCCCAGGCCTCGCTGCACTCGCAGCTGGGCACCTACAACCCCGACTTCAGCTCGCTCACGCACTCGGCCTTCAGCTCCACGGGCCTCGGCTCTTCGGCGGCCGCCGCCTCGCACCTGCTCTCCACTAGCCAGCACCTGCTGGCCCAGGACGGCTTCAAGCCGGTGCTGCCCTCCTACTCGGACTCCAGCGCCGCGGTGGCGGCGGCCGCGGCCAGCGCCATGATCTCGGGCGCCGCGGCCGCCGCCGCCGGGGGGAGCTCGGCGCGCTCCGCCCGCCGCTACTCGGGCCGCGCCACCTGCGACTGCCCCAACTGCCAGGAGGCCGAGCGGCTGGGCCCGGCCGGGGCGAGCCTGCGGCGCAAGGGTCTGCACAGCTGTCACATCCCGGGCTGCGGCAAGGTGTACGGCAAGACGTCGCACCTGAAGGCGCACCTGCGCTGGCACACGGGCGAGCGGCCCTTCGTGTGCAACTGGCTCTTCTGCGGCAAGCGCTTCACGCGCTCGGACGAGCTGCAGCGGCACCTGCGGACTCACACCGGCGAGAAGCGCTTCGCCTGCCCCGTGTGCAACAAGCGCTTCATGCGCAGCGACCACCTGAGCAAACACATTAAGACGCACAACGGGGGCGGCGGGGGCAAAAAGGGCAGCGACAGTGACACGGACGCCAGCAACCTAGAGACGCCCCGCTCCGAGTCCCCCGACCTCATCCTGCACGACTCCGGCGTCAGCGCAGCCCGGGCAGCGGCCGCGGCTGCAGCGGCGGCGGCGGCGGTGGCGGCGGCCTCGGCGGGAGGAAAGGAGGCCGCAAGCGGCCCCAACGACTCCTAAGGCCGGAGAGAGGCGCGAGCGAGCGAGCAGCGACGCGGAGAGCGGACGGAGGCTGCAGGGCGAGCGGCGGGAAGCGGGAGGGCGGGGGCCAGCAGCGCCCCCAGGCCCGAGCTGGGAGCGAGGCTCGCCCGCTGCGCCGGGAGCTCCCTTCGCTGTCTGCACCAGGAGGAGGAGGATCCAACGCGTGGTCCAGAAACAAAAGCGAACCGTCCTGAGCCACAAACACCTTCTTCGGAAACTGCACACAGACACACGCACGCACACGCACCGCAGACCCACACTCGCGCGCGCGCACACACACCACTCGCACAAACTTCTCGAGCGAAGAGCAATACACAGAGGCTCCTTCCTCTCCTCCCCCTGCCCTCCTCCCTCCTCTACCCTTCTCTGTCTTTTTCTCAAAAAAACTAGCCACCACCCAGCACAGGACTGTCAGAACATTTGAAAACAAACAGGACCTATAAAAAAGACCCTTTGTGTGGATTATATTATACATAAAATGCTCCAAGTCCTGCTTGATATCTACTTACAATGAGACTGTTTTTCCTAAAAAGGAAGCATCAAAAAAGGCTTAAGGTGAGAAATTAAACTGGAAGTCTAGCGACAGTTTCTCTGTATTTCATAACATCTGTATAAATAGGGTTCAAAAGATTGTGTTCTCTTTTATTTTCTTGTAAATGTTCATTCGAATAGAGGTGGGGTTTTTTTTTGGTGAATTCCTGAAATTCAGGGAGTTTTCTTTTTTAATTTTCTGATGCACTTTGTGAAAGTCAGTATATATGTAAAAGATATTTAAAATGTTGAGTTATCATTTCACTCAAACACGTAAATTAAGGTCATCTAAAGAAATTAAATGCGTTTATCTGTATGAAGAAAATCTTGACATCATATTTTCATTTTGGTATTATTAAAGGACTCTGAACAATACACCTCCTTTTTTTTTATATCCTGTTTCCCTCTCAGTAACCTTTACGTGGGTCGATTTTTGTTTTTCTTTTTGGTTGGGAAACAGTTCCCTTAATGTTAGTTGTAGGTAATGTAAAGTTTATATGGGTTATAAAAGCCATAATACATATACGTTTTTGAGAAGTCAAAACTATTTATTTGTATATCAACAGCGTAAATTAAATTGGGTTATAAGAATGTGTAGTTGTATTACTTAATGGGAGGGCTCTCCAAAGGTGACATTTTAAATCGCCTGAGAAAAACAAAGGTCTTTGGCAGCCCTAACTGGGGAGTTACTTACACCTCCGGAAGGGGTCAGGGAAAACTCTGATGGGATTGTTTGTTTTTAAAAAGTGATTTAAAAACAATCTGTGGAAGGAAAAAGCTTTTTGGAAAGAAGTCTTTTAGCTCCCAAGACTTCTATGTTGGGAGGCATCTCAGGGGAATAAATCGCTAGAGTCAATACCCCGGAAAAGACATTTCATGCCTAAATGAAAATCTTGTTAAATGTTATTAATTTTGACTTAGAGCACACAGCAGCCCCCTGTGCCTTGTATTCCCTTATTAGGGATTCATGTCTTATCAAATATCTAATTAATCTCCTAGACATCATTTGTTCTGGCCAACTTTATCTCAGCTGGTCCATGGGGAAAACTCCAAATATTCTCTGTGACAAAGCTCCCTTGAAGATCTTTTTAATTGTCTAAATTAACTGCACCAAATTTGCATGTCAAACGGTAAAGGGCAACCTGAGATAAAATGTAAGCGTTTTAAAAGCCCCCAAACTAAGCACTTGATTTGATAACTAGGCTTTTTAATGTTATGGAAGACAACTGCTCCTTTCCTTTTCAGAGACGGCTGATCTATGCAAATAGTGAATTGGAAATGCCTAGGTCCCCACGCCGGCAAAGGGCCCTCGCAGGTTATTTGAATATCAGTGGCGCTGCTTCTGAAAAGGTTCAAGGATGCTCTCTGACTTCTTTGTGATTACTCAGCGCGGCGTCTTATTCTGAAGAAAAAAACTCAGGAATAATTAAAGGCTGGGATCAGGCCTGGGAACACATTTGGGACAGGAATCTCATTTAGACAGTCTCTTTCAAAATAAGGCACAGTTAAATTGACCAGAAGGCAATTATTGAAATGAAAATTATTTTCACTCTCTTTGTCTTCTGACCACCAACTTAACAGCCTCGTTTTAAAAGAGAGAGAAGAGAGAGAGACGAGAAGAAAATTGGTAAATGAGACAATTTCACAATTCAAAAAAAATGTTAATTTGGAAAATAAATTACATATTTACAGAATTAAAATATTTCTGAAAGGCCTCCCACACAACAGGAACTACAAGCGAAGTCAGTACCAACAGATATCCCCCCCTCCATTACTGTCCTTGGAAACTTGAATGAAGATTTTGATTCTTAGGAAAGAAAGGAAAAATAATTTATTGTTACTAACAGTCAACAAAACTCTGCTCTGAAAAGCCAAGTAGCGAAGTAGGGATAAGACAGAAGGAAAGCCCCCAGCTGGGCTTTGCCGCGCGGGGTTCAGGGCTTCTTCCCTCGCTTCCTGCGCTCCCCGCAGCCTCCCCTGCCCGGCTCCTCTACCTGAGTTTTCTTCCCTTTGGCCATTTTTTCTCCGGGCTCCAAGCGTCCCTAACCCAGCTTCCCCCGCCTCTGCCCCCACGCGCCGTAGGGTTCGGCTCTGGTCTTGGGGAGAAGCTGGCCGGGGTGCGTTTGCTCTGCGGGCCTCGGCGCAGCAGGCCCAGTGGGTGCCCGGCGCGTTCCGGGGCTGCGGTGCGGCGGCGCCGAGGTGGGGTGTGACGTGGACTCCTGAGGCCCGAGGGCGCCCGGGCGTCGGGCCTGTCCGTCGCTTTGTTTCTCTTTGATAATAAAGGCAGATCAAAGGGCCTGGCCGTGCAGGTCCCGCTGGCCGCGGAGCTCCCTCCGCAGGCCAGTGATCAAGGCCCGCGCGCGCTGCCTCTGCCCCGCGGGTCAGCCCACGTCCATCACAGCGGCCGGCCGGGGCACAGTGAGCGGCGGCCGGGCCCGAGCGTCCAGCGGGGAGATGGGCGAGTGCGGAAGCCCGACCTGGGGGCGCGGGCAGGGGGACACAGGGCTCTGCCTCGCTGGGCCCCCGCCCAGCCCTTTGCGTCCCTAAGCCGAGCAGACTGACCCAGCGAGCGTGGGAGGAGAGGACACCCGTTGGGTCCCCAGCAGAGGTGGGGACGCGCCTCCCCAGGGTCACCTCCGGGTCCCGCGGCCTGGGCCTGTCTGACTCCGGGCCCCGGGAGGTGAGGCCGCTTCAGGGTCCCTAGGCGCAGAGGAGGGCAGCGGCCAAAGGTCTGCGAGGGGCTGGGTCCGCACCCCCGGGGCCCAGGCTCGCTCCAGCCAGGGTGGGCGGCCATGCGATTTCGTTTCAGCCGGTTTCTCCGGGTTTCCTGATCAGCAGCTTTCTACGCAGTAGAGGAGCAAAGACCAAGTTCTCCTCGGCCAGCGCCTACCCAGCCCCGGTCCAAACCCTCCCTCGGTGCTTTCTTTTCCTGACACTACTTCCCCCCGTCGGAATGAATTGGATCCAAGGAAAGAGGAAAATAAAAGATTTCTCTCTCTCTAAGGAAGGAAACATCATTTTGACGAGATTAGATTGTGCACCTGAACAGCGTGTCTGGACATTCCATCAAATCGTTACAAGTCGTGTAAAATTGAATTTCTTTTTATTCGGATGGAAACTTTATTTATTTTAACTCTAATCTTATTTGCATCTATTATCTGTATTCACCAAGGCTCTCTTCCCCTACAAAAATGCAGATGAAGTCAATCTCACATAAATCCCGCCCATTTGTGTAATTGGTATACTAAGTGTTTATTTTAAGTGAGAATAATTTAGCTACAAATTTTCTTAAGGAATAACATTCTTAACACATTAAAAAAACTGAAAACTCTGATTTGCTTTTATGTTTGACAGTAGCTCTTGATTCCCATAAGAGGAGCGCGGCGAGAGCGGCTCGCTGGCGCCATCTAGAGCCCGGAGACGGGAGGGCCGCGCTGTGTGCCCTGCGCTCAGCTCGGAGCGAGCGGAGACCGGCGCGGGCCGCGAGCTGCAACCCAGAAACTCAAGTAAAGCAAAGCGAGGTTTAGTGTTTCGTAGGGGAATGAGCCCGGCTAACGAGGGAGTACCCTTGGCACCGCTTAGCGGTATCTCCCAGGGAAGGAGGTCTTTTCTGGAACGTGCTAACTGAAAAATCCAAGCAAAACAAAGTAACGCCCCGCTTGGCCTTGGCCTTGGCATTGTCGCCTTTAACGTCCTTTGCAAGGCAACTTCAGGGTCTTCCAACTCGGCGGAGAACGCCGAGCGCCGCCGGCGGCGCCGTGGACCCCGGGATGGGGACTCGGAGGCAGGCGCGGTCCCCCGAACACCTCGCCCCACGACCGCAGAGGCAGGGCGGCGCGGACTCCCCCGGACCCCGGACCAGGCCGATCATCCCGAACCGCCGAAGCTGCCCCGCGCGCCCTCGGCCTCCTGGATGGGCAGGGACGCTGGGGACGCGCGCGGCGTCGCAGCCTGGCCTCGGGGAGGCTGGAGCCGCCCTCCGCCTCCTCCCTTCGGCCACCTGGGCCCAGTCGGGCGCGGGGGCGTCGTCAGGCCGGGACCGGGCCGGTCGGGGCGCAGGGCCCCCCCAAGAGCGACGAGGGGCCCCAAAGCCTTCGACCGGGACCCTCGCGGAGGGTGCGCTCACCCTCTCGGGCAGGACCGACCCCTTTTGTCCTCGCCTTTCCCCTTTCAAACCCAAATGTAAAATCAGAGAGCAGCTGGAGGCGCTGGCCGGTTTTTCTCTCCTCGGGGCCTCGCCCTCCCCTCCGCCGCCCCTTCCCCCCCTCTTCCCAGGCCACCCCACCCCCACCCGCTCCGCAGACCCCACGCGGTGACTTCCTCCCCCTGCCCGGCGCGCGGTCTGTATTTTAATTTGGGAAGCGGCACCTTCCCACCCCGCGCGCCCGAGGCCGCGGAGGCGCCTTCGCCCGCAGCAGTGAGAGCCAGGCCGAGGCGCCGGGGCGCCGGGCTCCCCGAACTCGGGCCCGGGAGACGCAGCGCCTCTCCCGGAACTCACAGCCACCTCTGCGGTGGGTACTCGACTGGGTTTGTATTTGCTGTTTTAATACAAATCCCGCCGCACTGCCTATTTCAAAGATGTGCTAATTACTACTTGGATAGCAGGGCGCAAAAGTCCTTGTCCATTTCCCAGTACAAAGTAGGTTGCTAGAAAATTTGAAATTGCCTTTCAGCCTAAAGCTGCCTTACCTGAATGTCATAATTACAGTAATTATGTACATCCAAATTACATGCTAATTAAATTAGAATCAAATCGTTCTAAATCGAAATCAAATGAGGTAGTGAAGAATTAATCAATGACAACATAAATAGAGAGCTTCCTTCAGAGATATTTATTGTAACGATCCAAGGAGGAATTTGATCTGAAAAAGTCACCTGTTTATTTACTTTCAAATTAGTAATCAGTTATTATCCCTTCTCCATAATTTTAACCGTTCAGTGTTATTTACCCCCCACCCTTTCCAGACGCTGGAGTTTATAGAAATATGTATGAGGTAAATACATACAGACATGCCTCCCCATATATCATTGATATAAATATATACGATGAGTTTACAACGCCAGTTAAGGGGAAGGTTTTACAATGTCTGTGGAGACGCTTCTCTCCAGGGCAGATTCTTGGGGACCCGGGAAAGCTTAGCATCTAAGAGTTTTCAGGTTTTCCCAAACACTCTTGTACTCTCTTCCTTTGGGGATTCACACTGGGGATTTTGCAACGTTTCGCAGGCACCTTCCCATTTCAGGGTGATTCGTTTATAAAAGAAGTGCAAAGTGACAGGGTGTGCCCCCCACCCTAGTCTCTTTTCTGCGGCAGATTGCTGGTGAGAGCTGACTTTTTCATTTTTGCCCCAGGAGCGAGAGATTAGCACTGGCTTCAGAAAGCGCTGTTTTCACCTGTGGAACCCGAGCGACCAGAACAATTCGCTTTCCTTCTTAACTACTACCGGCGAGTCCTCCCTGCGACCTGCGCTGGGGAAACGCGCCGCGGCCTGGACCCTCCGCGGGACTGGAGGCGAAGTCCGCGTCCAGCCCCGGGCCCCAGCTCCCCCGAGCCGCGGCCTGGGGATTTCTTCTGGCTGGGTTTGGGCCACCGCGGGAGCGAGGGGACGGGGACAGTTCGGAGAGCTAACCTCGACCCTTTTCCGTTACACCTGTGGGGAGGAGGTCACGCGGCTTCTCCAGGGTGTGTGTCCCCTAATTCCCAGCCTCTGCACCTGAGTGTGGGGTGGGCTCGGAAGGTTGCCAAGTGGGACCCCAAGGCCAACACCAGAGAACGCAGGGGTGGCGTCGCCTCTCCGGACGAGAAGGGGCGACCCCAGCCCAGGACTTAGGCTGTCACGCTACCCGGGACCCCTCCTGCTTCCTTTGAGCTTAGGGCAATGTCCAGCTCTCGAAGGCACGGGAGTCTCCGGACCCCAATTCTGCCCGCCCCTTCGGGAAGCCCTTGGAGCCTAAGGGATGGAGGTTTCTGCGTCTCCGAGTGGGGGGAGGCGACGTTTCGGCTGGAGAGTGCGTTTCTCTCCGTCCTAGTAGCTCTTCAGATTTCTTCTCGCACCTCCCTCCATTTTTACTGTTAGCTTCTGGGGACTGTGGGGGGCTTTTAACTGTGGTCTGAAGGCAAGAGACGGGGAAGGTGGTGTGGAGTCATCTGCTTCCTTTTCGATCCTCGGGAACTGGATTTTAGGATCCTCCAGTCCGCAGAGCTCTCAGTTGCCATCGCTTTTCCCAAAACTGAGTTCCCTGTCTTATTTGTTCCTCGCAACTTTTTAAAAGCATTTCTCTTTTTTTAAATCTGAAAATGCCTCCAAGGCCTGCAGTTATTGCATGCCTTTATCTCTTTTCAAGAAGTGGTAACTATAGCAAAGATTTTCATTTTTGAAAACCTAAATAAGATTTTTAAATATCTTTCAGCTACCGAAGTTAAAAACGCAGCTTTCTTCCTGGCCTTAAGCACAGAGTGTGGAAGATGGGCCTCGCTGAGAAGGTTCAAACAGCATCTTGGCCCGCTGCTCATTAGGCAAGAAAGGCTGAAATGGCCCCGGTGGATTTTAAATGCTTGAGTTGCAAGGGTAATGCATACTAGATGTTCTGTAGTTAAAACTGGGGAACGCCTGCCTTCAGCAGAGGAAACAGATCCGATTCCCTCTGAGCCAGCGGTGTACAAGAACAGCAAGAAAAGTCTCCCCAAGCCTTTCAGATATAAAGCTTTCTTCAGAAGCTTCACAGCAAGATTCATTTCGCATTGCAAGGTAAGCAGGGCTGCTATGCTGCAGCAACCTCTGCCTATTTTGGTATTTATTAAAAGAAATTATGACCAATTCACTAAGTAGACAATTAGATAAACAAGTTCTAACCTAGCAACCTGATCTTTCCTGGTCATTTGTAAATCGACAGCACCTCCTACAGGAATTTGCTAGTGTTGTGTTAAATGTTAAATTAGGGGAAAAGGGCTGACTTGGGTGTGGGTATCTCCAAAATATCTCCTACCTGTTTCAGTGTAGTTCCAGGCCCATGGACAAATACATGTCTAGGCATACCTAGATTTCTTTAAAAGAATTTCCTTATTAAAGGTAAGAATGACAAATTTTACCAGACTGATTTTCTTAAAAAAAAAAAAAAAAAAAGCCCTGTTGACTTTGAGTTCTTACATCATCCATCAGACATGAATTCTTTGGCTTTCTGTACTTAGAATTTCTACATATACTATACTTTCTTATTACCAGTCATCTTTTTATTGATTCTACATTTCAAAAGCCCCAAGTAGAATTAGATGCTTAATGTTTTTATTTGAAAAACTCATTTTCAGGCCGGGGATTTAGCTTAGTGGTTTCGCTGCCTGCTGCACAAGCGCAAGGACCACAGTTCGATCCCCAGTACCAAAAAAAAAAAAAAAAGACAAAATGAAAAACTCATTTTCTTTTTCCGTATCAGTAGTGTATACAAAACATGTAAGGAGAGAACCTTTAAAGCTGTTCGTTGTGACTGACTGTGAAAATGCCTCCCTTCTATTTCCAAGTTTAGGACATTAGAATGCTGCCACATTGGGGTTGTCTAGCACCTTAGGTGACCAAGGCTGGAAGCCAAACTGCAAACCAGCATCTTCCATAACACATGAGAATTTTACTCAGAAGTGGATGGGTAAGAATACTGGGGCTAAGGCATTTCAGGGTTTTGCAATCTTAATAATGAAGGATTAAATCAGAGGTTTAAAAAATTGAATGATTACTTATAAAGCTAAAAAGTGGACCACATTTTTCTGAAAGTCAAAGTGTGAAAAGGTGTGTCTTTAATCCATTCTTAATTATAAGATGCATTTCAACATTTCTCTTCATGAATACTATATTGGTTCAGAAATCCTTTTTAAGGCAGTGAGTATTGCATAGGTTTTGACATTATAAATATTATAAAGTCTAAAAAGGCATAAAGTAGAAAATAATTACTGCAACACTGATGAACTCAAGGTGTAAATTAGTATCTTTATCAATTTCAAATGCATGCTTTTTTAAGTGAAGCAGCAATGGAATCTTTGAGGTGCACTGTAAGTTATTAAAGAATATGGAGGAGGGATGCAAGCGCTTCTCCCCCTCCAGTTCCCTTAATCTAAATAGAAGGGTTATTATCTTTAGTTTTACACCTTCACTTTATACCTTCTTAAAAATTAGAGGGGCTTTGTGTTCATACAAAGCAGGACAAAGATATTTCATTAACTTCTCTTTCAAACTTACTTTCTTAAAAAGAACTTTTGAGATATTATGACTGTTGACTATCTAAACCATCCATTTTATATTTAACAGATGTTTTCTTAAAAAGCAGAACCTAATAACAAAAATAGTGTCCATGATGTGAAATGTTTTTTGGAATTGCATATTATAGTCTGTACTAATTTTTTCTTTACTTTTTCCTTTACTATATGTGTAAACACATGGGAAAATACTTCTATATTCTCATGAAATAGATCAAAATAGTTCGTATTCTCATTTTTGACAGAATATAACTGCTTAACATTAAAGTAAAATCTTAGAATAGTTGTGTGTCCATAGTAGCAAGGGCATGGATGATAGGTAGAGTGGTCCCCCTCCAATGAACATGTCCTGACCCCTGGAACTGGTGAAATGGATGTAAATAGACATAATTTCCATTTACATGGTAAAGGAGAATTAAGGTTGCTAATCAGCTGGTCTTAATGTAGGGAGATTATCCTAGATTCTTAAGTGGACCCAATATAATCACAAGGGTTCTTTTCAATTAGCAATAATCGTGCCTTGGATAAACCTTATTGGCTACAATACTGCCACTGCACAAAGCTCACAAGGGTTCCTCTAATGCAGAATATCAAAGGGTCTGATTAGATGTGAGGACCTGACTGCCCTTTATTTTTGAAAATGGAGGCAGAGGAGCCAAGAACGCCAATAGCATCCAGAAGCTGAAACAGACAAGCAAACAGGTTTTTCCTTCTGGTGAAACCTTAATTTGAGCCTAGTGAGACCTATGTGAGAATTCTGATCTCCAGAACTGTTATGATAATAAATAATTTATACTGTTTGAGGCATTTGTATGGCAGCACAGAAAACAAAACATCCAAATGTAAACAGCTTGCACTGCAGAACAACACACCTAAAGGGAGTTTAAGAGTCAAAAGAATACTGATAAAAGTCCAGTTTAATTCACATTAATGAATTTCAACCATTACACTTTGCTTCAAGCAAATTTAAAATTTAAAACTAACAAATTTGAATTGACAAAGGAAAAATTAAATTATAACCAATGTACTGTCACCCTTTGAACAAAAAAAAAAAATGTCAGAGTCATATAGGTTTTTAAAAATCTGGTACAGGGCACAAGAAACAGTTACCTGAAATAACAGTTTAGAGAGATGGGAAACCAAAATAGTGCTTTATTAGAAAGATGGCAGTACATACTTTAGCCTTTGCTAAAGGTACAGTATTCAATAAGAAAAGTAGAGATATATTTATTGCAGGTAACTGTCACACACGGTCTCTTTATTCTCTCCCTACTTCTGCTTCATTCTCCATGTCCCTTCAGCGCTTATCTCCTCAGTGCCCTCTGTGCGCTCTTTCTCTCTGTATCTATCTGAGCCATGGCTCCTGGTGTCACTTGTTCTATTCCGCCCTTCCCTGGGACTCCACTGGGACTGTCTCCTTAGCTCCCTTTGCTTGTAACTAGCAGGACTCCGGCTCCGGCTTCTTCTCCTCTTGATCCTGCTGCGGCTTCCCTCATTTCTTTCAGCTCCTCCCTTCTCTGGGCAAAGACGGCGGCTTCTGCACTTCCGGTCAGAAGTAGACCGGCTCCATCTGCTATTCTCCCCAGAACTCTCTTGTTTTAGAAACCTAGGCATTTCCTTGTTACTGTGACTGCTTGAGGGCTCTTCAGAAAGTTTTCTCTTCTTAGACTTCTCTTCAGAAGCACTGTTGTGACTTCCTAAACACTTGTTTTTCTTTTCTATTTTCTTTCCTTTATTGTCACTCTCACTACTGCTTTCTGAAGTCTCTGAAGAGGAAGAGGAAGAAGAGGAAGAGGAGGAAGAGGAGGAAGAGGAAGAAGAGGAGGAAGAGGGGGAAGAGGATGATTTGTGTTTATGTTTTTTGTGTTTACTTCTGCCCTTGTGTAACTTTTTATTTTTTCTGTCTTTTTTCTTTTTCTTATTTTTCTTTTCAAGCCTGTCCAATTTCCTGTAATTGAGAAACAGTAACAAACTGTGAGAAAGTCTTTTCATCAACAACTATAAAATTGTCCATAACTATATTTTCTTAGAAGCGACTAAAAATGGTAACTATATATACATTTTTTACTTTATGAAATGACAAATCATTTTCTTTCCAATTATTCAAGTAATGCATATGGCTGAGTTTAGGTAAAAAATTAAATGCTTTAAGCTAATTCTCTGACTATAATATCAACAGTAATGACTTAAAAAATTCTTACTAAGTCAGAATCTGAATTTATTTCATACTGTAAGTAAATGGTCATCCTCATCTAAAGCCTGTGAAATATGTGTAACACAGTTGGATCTATTCAAATTCACATACATACCTATGATCATGAAAAATTCACTTTGTGCTCATGCTATTTTAAAGTATTGGAAATACTGTCTCTGTCTTGGTGCATCCTTGTAATCCCAGCACTCTGGGGGGCTGAGGCAGGAGGATCGTAAGTTTAAGCCTAGCTTAGTCAACTCAGTAATGTATCAAGACCTTGTCTCAAAATAAAAAATAAAAAAAGGCTGGGGATATAGCCCAATGTGAAAGCCCTAGGTTCAATCTCCAGCCACATAGACACACAAAGTATAGAAATATTATATTATAATGATTCAAGAATACGTTCTCCAGAAATTCTGAGAATATACTTACAAATTTTGGTATCTTTTTGATTATATAAAATAAAATAATCACATACTAGGTTTCCACAATTGTTTAGTTTTATAAGTAATTTAATTACAGGGCCAGAGATTTAGCTCAGTGGTTCTGCTGTCTGCCTCGCAAGTGCAAGGACCGGAGTTCAATCACCGGTACAAAAAAAAAAAGGTAATTTAATTACAGCATTCTGAATTTCTACTTCACATTCTCAGAAGAGCAACTTGTCTGTATGTTATGTTTGCATTACTCTAAAATAAAATCATCTTCATTGGGTTCTGTCCAGCTATTATTCTCAAAACTCCACATGCTGAAAACATCACGAGCTCCCTCTATTGGACTCAGCAGACATTTCCTGGATTTTTAAATCCAGAGGTAGTCTAATAAAATTTATATTTACCTTAAACATTATTTCAGCATTCCTCATAAAAGTTTACAAAATATAAAAATACATGGCCAAGATATTTTCTAAGAATAAAGTATGTGTGCAAAGATATATATATATATATATGTAAAAATGTATTATTAAAATTAAAACCTTCAGTACAAGTAAGTCTGTTTCCAAATTAATTGTCCTAAAAAGCACAATAGGTTTTGGCATAATCTGAGTACACAATCATATTCATTTTCATGTTACTGAAAAGATGGACAAAATTGTGTTATTATAGTTGAACAGTAAATCAATAAATGTGATGCATGGTTTAAATACCTTTGAGAGCTCTCAGAGGGCTAGAGCTGTAGCTCACTTGCCTTGCCCAGCATCCAAAAGCCCATAGGTTCAATCCCCAGCCCCCCCAAAAATAATCATAAAGAGCACTTAGGGTTAGAGTTGAGTATGATATCAAGATGAAAGTAAAGGAAAAAAAAATTGTTTAGATGTATATTTAATGTTAATTACCTGAGAAGTTTCTGTTTTTGTTTGGTTGTTAGTGACTTTAAGAATTCAACTTCTGGATCTTCTTCACCCTCACTTGCAACGTACTCCTGAGTCAACAAAAACATTCAATTGCTAGATTTTAGACAAGTTAGTTATCAGTTAGGAAAAAATGTATAAACAAGAAATTTTGTATTAGGGACATACTGTAGATGAACCTGATATTTTGGATTGGGAGGTGGGAAGGAACTGAAAAAGACATTTTTGTGGTCTACCTGCTAAGGTGGATCTAAGCTTAACACAACTGCTATGTCAGCATTAGGGAACTTTAGGAGGATAGAGAAATGCAGATATAATCTTTATAGCAGGTTTTTACTCTCTATCTCTTGAATTTAAATCTTTGCCAATTAAATATTTTATTTTAAATTTAATGAAATATAGAAGCAGCAAAGAATATCATGAGAGACTGGGGGCAGTCTCAGTGGCAGAAGACTTGCCTTGCATGTGCAAGGCCCTGGCCTTGATTCCCAACACTGCCTCAAAACAAAACAACAAAAAAAGAAAATTATCATGAGGTTAAAATATCCATAATTTTGGCCTTTACAATACTATGTTATCAAATAAATGATAATATTGCCCTTCAAACAATTATTTTCTGGAGCTATGATCAATTTAATAAAGAAGTTTAAAATATTTTCTATAATTTTTAGGAGTTAGTTTCTATATACTGTACTTCCTATTGGTTCAATTTAACATCACTTCAGGTATAAGTTAGGAAAAAAAATAATCTTATCAGTTCAGTTAGATATTTTATCCACATAAACTGAGAGGAACCATTTCATTTATTAAAATATAGGTTTATAAACAATTCTCATTTAGGTTAAAATAATAAAGAGGGAAAATCAAAACACATTTAAGGCATTTTCTTTGCTATATCTTACTTTCCTATGGATATATGCATATTGGAAAACATTAAGCATCAATTCACAAGCAATCACATTTAGATTTGTAGACATTTTCAGCTTACTGATAAGAAGATCATTACCTGTGATGGATCATTTGCGGTCAAGTTTCTCCCCAGTACATTTCGTTTCAGTGCAAACCCACTGTTTCTCATCTCCGCTATTAGCTCCGAGGGGTGCATTGATGGCCCTGTTCACAAAAATCACAGTTTGAATGTATCATTTCTATCTCGCTACCTTCTCGGACTCCACAGTAGGAATGCAGTTGAAGCTTTGTTAAGTAAAATCGCAGCTAAATCAACTCAATAATCTTCTGCTGAGCAAATAATCAGATATGATTTTCTAAAACAGCAGTCTGGAGATTCAGAATAGAAAATAATTGCATTTTTCTTTACGTGCAAGGGGCTTCTCTTCTTATGTAACTTTGTCATGTTGAAAAAGATACATTTAGATGTACCTGGCTGGAAGTTTTTAGTTTAAAATAAAAACAAAATGACAAAAAAATTAAACTTTTAATAGTTATTCTCTCAGTAGGAATTCACTTTTAAGATACATATGCAATTTATTATCCTAGTTTTCAATTCAAAATTCCTCACTTTTGTTTATTAAATACCAATATAGTACTGAATATACTGCCATATGGTTAGCATTATCAGCAACCAAACACACTCTCACACACACACACACACACACACACACTCACACACACTACTAGATCTTGAAGTTTCAAGTTAGTACTATATTAGTTTGGGGCTGGTGACAAACAATTTTAGATTGGCTACAGGTGTATATATTTTATATTTTTCACAAGCTGCCGTTTCCACTTTTGCAAAATCTCAAACTGACAAAGTTACCTTTCTGGTTCCATAATATGGATTAATAAAAGATTAAAAAAATATTTAAAGGTCTGCCCCCCTTTCTCAAACATAAAGCTTATTCCTCCTTTTGAATATTCCTCTTTCACTTTGTTTTCCCTGTAGGTAGCAAACTAACTGACATTTCATAATAGCTGCTTAAAAGTTTCTGGCCTAAATCATCCACACAGCATAAACGAATCACCCGGAGCCATGTATCTGTACTGTAAGGAGAAATAAGACAGTTACTATGACAAGGACTTCGTAAAGGAGAGCGGGAGACAGGAGCATTCAGAAACATTGTCTAGTGTGCTGATTCAAGAACTGCCTTTTCCTTGCTTTATTGGTCTTTTACTACATTTTTCCCCCTTGAGACAGGGTCTTGCTATGTGGCCTCGAACTTGTGGTGATCCTCCTGAGCTAGCCTCCTGAGTACCACGACACCCAGCTGGTCTTTTACTACTGGTTTGCATGTTCACCTACATGTTTCCATGGAAAGCAAAAGGTGATCATTTCAAATCTGTTCACCTGTCAATAGTACCTCCTCTTGTAGGAAAAAAAAATGGGAAAAGTTTAGGTATAGGTTACTATCTTACTGGACTCTCTAGGCTTTAACATTCTACTCATACTGTATTACCAAGAACAACTGAATGTTTAAAATGACAGGGGAAAAACGGCCTATTATTTGAATATGGGAAGTTATATTTAATTCCCATGGATAACTTTAATGACCCTTTAATACTCATTTGGTTGTAGATGTTGATAATAAAATTTTAAAGAAAAACGGAACTTTAAATATTAGTACTAGTTGCCTCTAAGTGGCACAAAAGTGCTCATACAATTAAAAGCTTTAAATGAACAGCAGGGCTGGGGATGCAGAGCAGTGGTAGAGCACTTGCCTAGAATGTGTGGGTCCAAGCTTAGATCCCCAGCACTGCAAACAAAAAGGGGGTGGGTGGGTAACAGTACATTCACTTTGGTGGCTTCTCAAATTTCACAGACAGGAACAACATTTTTATAAAGTAAAACATGTGTCTTCCGAATTGTCAAAAATACATTTCCTTGTCAACAACTTTACATAGTATGTTATACCACATACTTGGGGAGAATGTATGGAAAGTCTTTTAAAGTTTAGATTCAGAAACATGACAGCAGCCAGGTGCGTTGGCACACGCCTATAATCTCAGCACTTGGGAAGCTGAGGAAGGAGAATCACTGTGAGTTCAAGGCCAGCTTGGGCTACACAGTGAGTTCAAGACTAGTCTGAACTATATGGTGAGACCCTGTCTCAAAAATAAATAAGTAAATAAATAAACAAATAACTAAAAGAAACTTATCAAAAACAAAACATGAGAGCTCCAAAACATTTCTTAACTAAAGAAAAAGGCTGAGTTCTTATAACTTTTGTTCTTGTAACTTTTTCAACATGTACCTATTGCATATTAACAGTAACTACTGCCTACTAACAGTATGCAATAGACACTAACAGTAGCATAACCTTAAAATGTGTGCTTTAAAACAAACCTCCTAGACTGAGGATGTAGCTCAGGGGTAGAACACTTGCCTCACCATATCTGAGGCCCTGGACTTAATTCCCAGCACTACAAACAAAACAACAAAAACCCAGGGCTAGAGGTGCAGCTCAGTGGTAGGACATATGCCTAGCATGCACTAAGCCCGGGATTAAGCCCCCAGTACCTCTAAAATTAACTCCCAAATATTATCACAAATAAACTATGATTATCATTTCCAGGACAGTACAACTTTCTGTTCCCTTTCCTAAGGTTAGAGTGACTACATTTAGTGAACAAACTACGGTGGTACCTCGGTTCATGAACTTGTTTTACTATTTTGGGGAAGATGGCCCGGTTATGTTTGTCACCCAATGTGGGTTTTGTCAAATGCATTTGAGAACCGGATTGTCTGTGAACAGAAGCTTTCCTGAACCAAGGTATTTCTGTATTCCTTGTCACTAAATAAAAAGGACAGTTTAGGGATGGTACTTCTAGTATATTATTAAGAGGGAGATCTGTGTGTAGTAGAAATTATCAAGAATTATCTTGCATTTATATTTAATTCCTAGTATTACCATAACCATTTTGCTTTTAAGAAAGTGTACAAAGTTGTCCTTAAGAAAAGACTATAAAAAGGGGCACAGTAGGAACATGAAGCATAAGTCCCAGGAAAAAAGTGAATAAAGCTATTAATATAGTGTGTGGGTGATTTTTATTTATATAGACGAGAACGTTTTATGTATGATTTTCTAAAGGTTATGCAAGAACCAATTGTAATGAATTGTAATAAAACTGCTCCATACTGGGAATTTTTCTAACACACTGCCAGTTCATCTTTGTGGGGGCTGGAAACAATAAGGTTTTTGTTGCCCTTATCCCAAGTTCATACTGAAGACAGCTAATTGATTTCTACTGAAACATACAATGTACAGGAAAATGAAACATTTCATTTTAGTCTGTGTGTCTTAAAAATACAAAAAGGCAAGGAAATACAAATCTGTCCTTACTGTATGCTCGTAAAACTTAGCTTATTAAAAACAATCTTGCCTTACAGAATATAAATATATTTGAATTATTTGATTATGTCTTCAACTTAATTTAAGTCAAATATTTCAGTGGTAATACATATGAAAAATATGAAGTTAACTTATACCCTAGGGGATTAAAAAAATCATTTGTGTTGTAAAAAATAAAATGTTAAAAGTGAGTACACATTTTAAACAAGTTATGGGAATATAAGTGCTCTTGAAAATCTTTGCATCCATGAACCTCAAAAACATGAAGTGAGACAGGAAAGACAACATACTGTACGGTTTCATTTATAAAGTTCTACTACAGTGTCTTAGTTACTTTCCTATTGCTGGGGCAAAAACCCAACACCCACAACTTAAAGGAGGAGAGGCTCACTTTGGCTCACAGTTTCAGTCTACTTTTCCCAAGTAGAAAAAGGATGGCAGAGGGATACGGCAGAGGGAAGATGCTCAACCCACGGCGGCCAGGAAGCAGAGAAAAAAGGGAGGAACTGGAACAAGAATATACTTTTCTGGGTCACACCCCCAGTGACCCCACCACCAACCAGCACATTCAGTGATGAATTCATCAATGGATGGACCCAAAGCTGAGCAGAGTGCCCTCATAATCCAGTCACCTTCCAAAGGCGTCAGACTTTGGGGGGACATTTTAGATCTAAACCACCACAACCCGGGATTAGAAACTAGTGGTTGTCAGAGGAGGAGGTAGACTGGAAAGAGGCAGATGGACATTTTCTAGGGTGAGGACAATGCTCTATGTCTTGTCAGGGATGTTGGTTACCAGTTGTATACATTTGTCAAACTCAAACCCAGTGCATTTTACTTAAAAAAAATTACACATGGTATTTTCAGTACTTAAGACCACTGCATTTTACTTTAAAAAGTTATTCATTATATTTTCAGTCAATAATAATTACTGGGTGACTGTGGTACTATAGACTCTCATTGTATCTAATTCTAACTATGAGCTTATGTATCCCTAGTATATGACATGGAAAATGATTTTTAAAAGCTGTGTGTATTACTGAACATTTATTATTTTGTCTCATTAGAACATCAGAGAACTTAGTTTTCACTTTTCTTTGCAGCTATGCTGGTAAGATTCAGTCTCTTCAAGCAGTTGAATATGGGAGCTCCATAACAGATTTAGGTGGGGTTGCCAGAAGAGAACCTGAGTTCATCATCTTTCTTTCTATAGAAAGTATCTCTGGCATACTCTTAGATCTTTTTAGCAAAACTTATAACTAGACAAGTATTTTAGTAAATTTCCCAAACATGTTCCCAAGCCACAAAAATGCCTTCAAATGTGAATGGCCATGATGGTGAGCCTGAGGGCAGAATGTGGGAGCTCTTACTGCAGGAGCCTGCTGTCAGTACTATAGCTCAGCACAACATTCTTTGAGAAAAATTAAATTGAGGGAAAATTAAGCAAGGAAAAGAGCACTGGTACACTAATGTTTCCAACAAGTTACGGTAAGACTTTCCTTAGGGCTGGGGATGGAGCTCAACAGGATAGTGCCTACTGTGTGAGATCCTGGGTTTCATCCCAGCACCACAAAAAACAAAGCAAACCAAGAGATTCTTTAATTTAAACTATTCATTTTCATAGTATTTGAACACACTAAAAGCTAGGATATAAACAAGGTAGAGATACTTAAAACACTAGGTACCTATCATCATCTTAGCTATTTGTGGTATGTCTGGAACTCAGACTTAATGTAATAAAAAGAAAATGCAATTTGGCATGTGTCTAGTATATCTAGTGACACTATTTTGAATTTGAAGTTTACT